TTAAGGCTAAATTTCCAAAGTTACACATTTGCCCCTAGGACTTTAACACATCATAATTTGCCAAATTCAATTCAAATGACTTTGAAATTTTATCCTACCTCATTCATGGGTCAATTAAGACATCAGAGGAGAAAAAGGAGAAAATGTGATTTTTTTAAATTTAATTTAATTTATATAATTATTTTCATGCAAAAATAGGATTCTTCCAAGAAAATTCCTAACTTAACTAAGGTAAATCCTAATCCCTTGAAATTTTTACTGGAGGTAGACCTAAACTATAGAATTTGTTGAACTAAATTTTATGATTTTTTGAATCTTATTTGAATTTTAAGAATTATTTTAAGTTCTGAGGTATTTATTAAATGTAAAATATTTTAAATGAGGAAAATTAAGTTTCATATTTTTGAAAAGTCCTCCTAAGGTTAAAGAACTCAAAGGAGAAGATTTTATATTTTTTTTGAATTTTATTTGATTTATTGGAATTATTTTTAGTGAAAAAACATTTAGACTTTAAAAATAATATTTTTAAGCTTTAAAATTCAGTTTCTTTATTTAGAAAATCAGGAAAAATATTCTAATTATTCTTAAGTGCTTATGAAGTAATTTAGAATATTTTCATGAATTTTATTATTTTTGTGATTTTTATGAATTTTTAATTATTTAAATACTTAAAATAGGTTGAAAAATGAAGTTTTTATTTAAATATTATTTTATTTTTAAAAAATACCCCTGATCATAGAATACTCAAAAACTAAGTTTTATAATTTTTCAAGTTATATTTTAATTATTAAAAATCATTTTAGTGTCAAAAATGTTATTTATCTTTAAAAATCAACTTAAGTTACCAAATGAACTCAAAATGATTTGAAATTTTATGGTGAGTTCTCTAGATCCTAAAAAGAGTGGAGATAAAAAATAAAGTCATTTTATTTTTTATATTTTTTAAAATTAAATATTTTAGTGACTTGGGGTTTTGTAAAGATTAGGTGTATTTTGAATGACTTGGCTCATGGGAAATTTTCCTAAGGGTTATTTGGTCATAGTAAACCTTCCAAAATTTTCTTGGATTTTTCTAAGCAACATGCTAGTTTTCATGATTAATTTAAACAAATAATTCATATAAACTTGAAAAATATGATTCTCTATCTAGGGACCTCCTCTGACTTTGGAAAAATTAGGGAATTTTACTTTCAATAGAGGCAACAACATGCTGAAATTTCAAGTCATGGTGATATTATTACATGCATGGAGAATCAAAAAGTTCAAATCAGTGTTTAATTAATTAAAAAATATAATATGCATCACATGGACTTAAAACTATTTTCACATTGTTCTCCTCTGTTCACTGAGCAAGGGGGTATTTTTAATTTTATTTTTATGATTTTTCTACACCAAGATATGAATTTTTGAAGTTAGGGAACATTTTCTGAATTAATTAAATCCCTATTTATCTATTTAAACGTGTGGCGCCACCTCAACCTACGATGGATCTAAAGCTCCATGCGGCGCGCTCCCATTCGACGTCGCCATCCACCTCAACGCTGACTCGGCCCACGACTTATGTTTTGAAGCGCTATCCAGCTTGATCTCGACCGTCCATCCGATACATGCGCGATCGAATGATGCCTCGTCATCGTCCCCGATAGCCTAGCCCGAGAACCTCCATCTTCTAGCCTTAAGATCTCTCTCATTTTTTTACCAAATTAAGTGAATTTTTTTTAAAATGCTCGTCTAGACTAGAGGAACATATCCATATAGTTATGATGACATGAAATCAACTCAAAACAAATGGAGAGTTCAAATAGGCTCGGGAATAAGAGAAGTTTTATACCTTGGCTCTGAGAAGTGAAGCTTCAATTAGAGGTTCTTGACACATTTGTTTGGATCCAAGGAGGCTAGGGATTGAGCCTCTAGCCTTAGTGTAAAGCCTAGGTATGATTTTGATCAAACCCGATTTTAGGTGTTGGTCTAGAGCTATTGTAGAGGCTATTTCAGAGGGGGATTTTATGGGGCTTTGGCTTCTTTCTCGGTTGTGAAGGTGTGGGCACAAGTAATTGAAGTTTGGTGGACTGTGGAAGTATAATGAGCTCTGTCCTGGTTTTTGGCAAAGGTTTGAGCTCAAAATTGAGTTTCTACAGTGGAATTCAGTGGGGGAGGAGGATTGGATTGCACTGGGGGATCTTAGAGAAGCTCTGTGAGAAGTTTGGGGCTCTCTCTCTAAGAAATTTTTAGCACTACCTCCATGGTCGTGGAGGTCAGTTTTTATAAAAACTGGTCATGGGGTGGCTCTCAGGGCAAATGTTTGGGTGCATTGTGGTGCTTAGGTGGAGGGCAGAGGAGCTCTACAATTTGATTTGTCTAAGCTGGCCTCTAGGTTTGATTTGGGTGAAGTTCCATGGGGGTGGCTATTGGTTTTGAGCTTCTCCGGCGACTAGGCCAGCCGATCATGGCAGGGGGGGTGGCTAGGTGCTCAGGGCATCCAGGGGAATCTATCAAAGCAACTTAATGCAATGAGGTTTAGTTTTGGTAAGGGTATCTCAAGCATGTGCATTTTTGGAAATTAAATCCCTTAATTTGGGAGAATTTTGGTCCATGGATTATTTTAGGTGGTTAGATGGGTTTTGCCTTAGTCTTAGGGTCTAACCAATGGCTGAGGTGGAGTTAATTTGATGGCTTTGGGGTAGTTAGGTCATCTTTAATGCATACGTTCAATGTGTGTTAAAGTGATCAAAGTTTGGGTTTGGGCTAGGTTAGCCATGTCAATTGACCCAATTGATTGATCAACATTGTGTAGATGATTGTTATGAAGATTTTTGGTGAAGGTTTGAAGTGTTTTTGAGTTCAATTGATAGGTCAATTTGAGGATATTTTTTAAATTTGGTCAATTTGGGCATGTTGGGCTAGACATGGGTCTACGTTGGGCTAGATTTGGGCTAAGTCCAAATTGAATGGTCCACATGATCAAGGGAGATATTGTGAAGATTTTTCATGAAGGGATGGAGTGGAAATTTTGGGGTTAAAAGCTTTAATTTGGTGAGATTTTGAGAAATGGCAAATTTGGGGCTTTTGGACTTAGGTTGAAATCAAATGAATTTGAGGTCTCACCAAGACAAATTGAAGGTCAATTTTGATGTATGGGGATGTTATGAAAGTTTTTTCAACAGAAATTGTGGCCAATTGAGTGGGCTATGAGTTCCATTTGGTGGAACTAAGTCATAGGGCAAAAAATTAGGTTTTTAGTTTAAATCAAAATTGGGTCCAAATGATGGACCAATTGAGCTTGGATTTGGTCTAAATTGGTCATATCAAGGGTGAATTTGAGTTTAGAATTGAAATTGGGGTAAATTGAGACCAATTGAATAGACATTTGAGGTAATTTAGGGAAAATATGGGCCTTTAAAGGGCAATTTGGGGGTTTTGATCAACGATGGCCAAATTGGCCAAATTGGGTCATGTGATAGTTGAGCAAAATGCAATTGGGAATATTTGGGAGGTTTTGCGAATTTTTGGAATTTTTTGGAATTTTTGGAATTTTGGGCTGAGGGGTATTTTGGTAATTTGGTCAATTTTAGTGATTTTGGGTATTTTGGGTGTTTTCAAGGTGTTTGAAATGATTTTTGAACCAAGTTGGGTATCTTGGGTAAATTTGAGAATCTTGGTCAAATTTGGGGTCCCAAGGGTATCTAGGTAATTTTAGGGGGTTTAGGGGCAAAATACTGGTGTTGACCTCATTTTTGAGGTCTTCCTTTCTCTTTCTCTAGATTTCCTAGGTCTAGTCTTAAGATTTCTCTATTCTGGCTCTCTTAGAGGACTAGACTGGGACCCAAATTACTTAGAAACTCAAATCATTTCTTCGCTCCTTGCAGTTTCATATGGATGATTTTTTAGATCCTCAATATTGGATTGAGTCGATCGAAAAACCGACATGTTGAAGCTCAAATTGAACTCCTATAGAAATTTGAAAGACATAGGGGACCCCGTGACATGTGCGACGTCTGACTTTCTGCCAAGAGCAATATGTTTGACTTTGGTTGTCATTTAAATGAGGATCGGTCATTGATATATTCTTTAAACGACGATTTTACATAGATAAGATACCCACATTTATATAATTTCAAGCACTACAAATAGCATTCACACCATGATTTTTAAATAATAAATATTATAAAAAAAATTAAAAAATCTCTATATAAATGCACACACCCATCCACTTTGTCTTTTCTTTCTAATTCACATATCATACTTTGGATGCTCCATATTGAGTATGCTCCATACTTAGATTCACTCAAATTTGGCCATAAAATCCTTTTTATAATCTTGTTAATCCATTTCAAATTTTCAAATCTAAGCCAAGTTCAAATATCTTTGACTTCACCAAACTTTGAATGAATTTGGACTTTTCTTGGAACCACATACTTTGATGAACTTACTTGAGCATTGCAAGAATTATTTGAATCACTTTGAATACCTTGAAAGTCAAGGTATTTTCAAGGTATTTGAAGCTTCTCCAAGAAGCTTCCTCCTTGGCACCAATAATTGTACATTTGGATTACAAGCTAGCCCATTGTCACCTCCCAAAAGATAGGTGGTGGGCAGCCCAAGACTTATATATTGCTTTTCGGGCCTACACCTAGCCAATGTGAGACTATTTGTCCGTGACATTCTCCTCCACCCAATCACGTGACACTCTCGTCACGGATCGACTCCACCGAGGGTTCACACACATGTCAAACAGTAATCTGCTCTGATACCACTTGTCACCTCTCAAAAGAGCTCTTGTAGGTGGTGGGCAGCCCAAGACTTAAATACTGCTTTTCGGCTCTACACCTAGTCAATATGAGACTATTTGTCCGTGACACCAAGCTCACTTGTTGGCTTCCAAAACAAGCTACCACCAGCATCTTCCCGACTATAAATAGCCACTTATTTCTTCTAAAACCGGAAAGGCTTCTTCTGTCGAGCTAGCGCCAATTCTTTTTTTTTTTTCCCACCGTTGTTCCTTCCCTGTTGTGTGCGATTCATTCTAGAGCAAGAAGGGTCATCTTCCTTGTCTGATTCTAAGCCTCGAGGGTTTCTCTTCTAGCTGATTCTCTCATGAAGCTTGAGTCGCAAGAAGATCTCCCTTCTTCTGCTGTATTTGTCGCTACAATGGCAGATTGGCTTGTTGGTCCAGTCATGGATAGGATCATCAACGCTTGCTCTGATTACCTGCAAGATCAGTTCAGATGGCAGACAGGCATGAAGGAGGAGCTTGAAAGGCTGCGAGTGAACCACCCTAAGATCCAAGCTGTCGTCTCTGCTTCTTTCACTCAAGCAGACATCTCAGATCAAAATCCGGCGCTCAACGACTGGATATGGCTGCTTAGAGATGCCATCGATGAGGCGGATGATTTGCTCGATGAGTTGGAGTACATGAAGCTTAAAAAACAGCTGATCAAAAATAAGAAGCGACGAAAGGTGCGTTTGGCCATTAGCTTTTTAAAGAGAACAGGACAACGTGCTCTCAAAATTGATCCCTACTTGAAGAGACTGACGGAGGTTGTGCAGAAACTCGATAAAGTTTCAGCTGAGGTTGGCACTTTCCTTCATCTTGCAGAAAACGCCAAGCAGCAGCAGCAGAAGCAGGAGCTTGAGTTGTACAAAACTCGTGAAACAGGATCCTTGCCTAAAAATGACCTCGTCGGTCGAGGCAAGGATATGGAATTTGTTATGCAGTGGTTGAGGAATCCATCAAATGAAGATCCAACTCATATTACTTTGTACAAGAACATTTCTCTTTTATCTATAGTGGGTCATGGTGGTATGGGTAAGACGGCTCTCTTACAACATGTCTATCAAGATCTGAAAGAGGAATTTGATCTTAAAATGTGGGTTTGCGTTTCCAATAACTTTGATGTGAAAAGGGTTATTGGAGATATGCTGGAATCTCTTAAAATGAAGAAGCCTGATTTGGAGTCACTTGAGGCACTTCAAAGAAGTCTTAAATCTGAGGTGATTGCCAAGAAGTTCTTACTTGTGCTTGATGATGTTTGGGAGGAGGAGCAAGAGAGTGATAAAAGCAAATGGGAGAATGTGTTCTCCCCTTTAGCTTATGGAACTTTGGGAAGTAAGATTTTGGTAACAACTCGGATGGATTTAGTTGTGACGGTGATTGCAAAGGTGATAAAAAAAGAAGAAGAAAACATTAAGATTAAAGGGCTTGGGGGATGATGAAAGTTTGCAGCTTCTCAACATCCACGCATTTGCTGATGTAGAAAACCTTGATAATCATAAACAATTAAGAAGCATTGCTAGAGAGATTCTTAAAACTCTCTCAGGGTCCCCTTTAGCAATTAAAGTTGTTGGTGGTGTTCTGAGTTCTGGCTTGAATGTGAGTCATTGGATAAGAGTTTTAAACAGTGAAATTGGAAGTGCTAGCCTTAGTCAGAGTAACAACTTGCACATCTTAAGATTGAGCTACACATTCCTCCCAAGACCTTTACAGAATTATTTCACATTTTGTAGCATATTTCTGCAAGATCATAACTTTTTTAGAGATGATTTAGTCAAAATGTGAATTTCATTAGGTTTCATTCAGACACCTTCAATTTTAGGAGAGACCATGGAAGATATCAGAGGAGTTGCCCTCTAGACCTCCTTATCTCTGGAAATTGGAGATAGATAACGTTGGGTGGAAAGCTTTTAACTGGCTGCTAGAAGAAGAGTTGGTAGGAAAGGCTTTGAAAGAAGAATTCGAGTATACTTCCAGGAATGACGAGTCATTTCAAATCCTGGAACATGCAAATTCTGCTAATGACCAAGTTATGAATTTGAACAAAGAAATTATTAGCTCCAGTATCTCAGAAAATGGGAGCAGCAATTTGGAATCGCCTACATTGTTGAATGATTCATCTGAGTTGATCTGTGCCAATGATGCTTCAAAAAAAAAAAAATAAAGTTCAGCAGAAGGAAAATAAGAAGAGAGGGAAGTAGGAGTTTGAAGCTCATCGCAGGAAGAAGGATTTGCTTATGGTGCATTTACTTAAACTCTAGGTTTGAATTCAATCAGGCACCTCTACCGAACTAATTCAGCATCAGATACGATGAGTGAACACATTTATTGCGATTGGAGTTACAATGGTAGGAAGCATCACTTTCCTAAAGAGAAAGGGTGATTATGTCCGCAAAGGAGATGAAGGTATGCTTCCCCTCTTGTTGCTTCATTTTATTATTACACAAATTCCGCTTAGATATATAGATTTAGAAAGATTTACATGCATACCACCCAATTCTTATGTATTTACATATCTAACACCTAAATTTTACTCTTCACATTAATATCTCTAAAACCTTTCACGTCACATAAAAATATTATCATTTTAAAATTTTAAATTAAAAAATAATTTTCATTCATAGTTAAGGTGACATATATGTATAAATGAAAGTTTGAGTGTTAGACATGTAATACATTAGAATTGTGTAATATTATGTATGTAAATTTCTATTCGATTTTTTTATGAAACCCCAAATGTCGTGGAAAAGAAAATTTGAAAATTTTAAACCTCCTTCACTTGTGGGAAATTTACATACTTTGCACACAATACTTGTGTACTTAAACATATCTCAAACCTGAACTTTTACATTTGCATATACAACACTTCAATACTTTCAATCTATACAATGAAAAATGTATTCTGTTTAAAATTTAATAAGAATCTTGATATTTTGATATGATATTGAGAATTTTAGTATTGTATATGTAAATATGAAAGCTATGAAAGCTTAAATGTAAAAAGCTTAAATGTAAGATATATTGATACATAAGAATTGAGTGGATTATAAATAAACCTTTCAATTATCACATGACACACATAGTCAATTTTTTTTTTACTATAGCATTTATGCATACTTAGCACTTTATCTTGTTTCCAAATTCTCATACAAATTTTTTTGTGCGCCTTTGCGAGGTAAACTTGGTTGCGGTCAAGGTATTGGTGGAGCATGAAGCTACCCTGGAGTAGACAAGACGAGACGACATCAAACTTTGCATTGGTGAGATCAAACCAAAACCACTTGGCTTTTTTTTTTAAATATTTTCTTAACTTTTAAATTCTTAATATAAATATTGAAACATTTAAATTTACAAACTTTCAAACCCAAATCAACAATAACAAACACCAATTCAAAACACATTGTAGAGAATACATTAAATATCTGTAATAAGTCATTTTTGATATGTTCTATTCCATCTCTCTCTTCTCGGGACGAGATAACGACGCGGTCAAGTGATAATTCATCTCCGAGCAGTGGTCGGGACTACAACAGATGGTGGAAAAAAGAATCTTCGGCTGGACTCCGATATATTTAAATAACATACCTGTAGAACGTCGAGGTAGTTCGTCTTGCACGACGTAAATCCTCACATTATCTTTTAGGACTTTCTACGATTTTATGTCGTATAATATAAGTCTTAAACTTTTCAAGATTTTGAGGTGGTCGTTCGGTACGACATAAATCCTCACATTTTCTCGGGCTATTTGCATATGACATACAGATATAAGTCCCGAAAATCTAAATAACTCGCAAGACTGAAACATCACATAATTTCTCTTTCAAAGATGTAAAGTCAAACCATAGATTAGTTTGAGATGTCACTGATTCTTCTTCAGTATCTTCGACATCTCCTACTTTTTGTTTCTTTGGATTTCAAAAATAACTGTTCTTACTTGAACCTATCCCATTTGACTTTTTCTATAAGCAATCGTGAAAACCTAAATGTTAAATTCTTGAATACAAAACTCCTGATTTTAACGAGAGTTTTTCTAGGTAACTTCGGTTGTCTAAGATGTAATTAACTATAGGAACTTGCCACTGTAGAGAATTTAAAAACCCATCAGCATAATATAAACCCTATTATAGGAGAATTTGTAGACTATAAATTTTGCAGACCAAAATATAGTCATAAACTTTTAAGTTTAGATAGTTAAGCATACTAAACCGACAGTTGGGTTGGGTATCTTGGTAGAGTTGGAGTACCAACCACAATTAATAAGCTATGGACCAATAGAAACCCCATTTTGGGTCCTCTATGTAGTGGTCTTAGCCAAACCCTAGCCTAGGCCTAATGGGTTTAAGGGACCACCTACATGAGTCTCCCAAAAGTGCAAGGGACCAAAGCCAAGAAATTTTTTATTTAGGGTAGTGAGTGATCGTGAGTGTAAATGATTGCAAGTGAGTGCCTTAGTCCTAGACCAACACCCAGGGTCAACCCTAAGGTCCAGCAGTCCTAAGGGTGACTCATCTTGAGTTTCGCTCATAGTGACCCCACCTACTAAGTGCTAGAGGTTAGAACCAATATGTGGAACTCCAAGTTGAGTAGAGAAGAGTGTAGAATTTCTAATGGTGAGGGTTCCTTGTCTAGTTTTCTAAGAATAGTAAATAGGAAAGTCCTATGGCTTGACCTTAGGCTACTAAAGAGAAAAAAACTAAACCTCAACCAAAAGTGAGGTCAACATGTGGTTTTCTAGGCAATATGGCGTGTTCGGACTTTTGACGCATCATGCGCCAAGGCTCTGTAAATTGGTGCATCATGATGCGTCAGAGCTTAAATTCTCCATATTTTGATTTCTATAGAAATCAGCTCCGTACCGCTTTACGTAAACCTCTATTTGACTCAAATAAACCTTTCTAAGTATATATAAATATCACACCAACACAACACTTTCACATTTATATATAAAATCTGTGCTATTACAAACAAACATTTTTCAAGCTAACAAACATCAAATTTAGTGTTCTAAAGCAAACTAGCATCCTAACAGTGAAATCTAAACATCAAAATTCGAAACATAAACATAAATAATGTTCATTAGAAAGGAAATGCAATTCAACTTAACAAACTAAAATAAACAGTACTAAACAAAAATTTTCCATGCATAAATTAAGATCAAACATCTTCTTCACTATCGTGCTCCCGGATATCTCCGATGGATTGGTAGTGCACATATAGGTTGTAAATGAAAATTCATCAGTTGAATTTTCCTCCTCAATCCAAGAATGTTTCTTGAACATACATACCAATTCGTCTTCAATACGCCCTGTATGTTCAAAATGTTCCTTTAGTCTCAAATCCAAATGATCCAACATTTTGGTAATATTCTCAATCACGTGCATGAGATTCTGCACATCTTTCTCTATCTTCTTAATCCTCTTTGAAAGTACACTCGAGTTGTAGTAGGGCTGAACAGGTCATGAATTTTGAGATCCTTGATCCATCAGTACATTCATGTCATTATCATCTCCCATTCCAATACATTTACAATAAACTTATGGATCCATCAGCTTCCAAGGAAGAATCACTTTTTTCTAACTTTCATAAGGTACTTCTGATTGACTGCATAGTAGGAAAATAGTGGATGGATGTCTGAGTCTAGTTGTAGATCCATTCACAATCTAACCAAAAACCGATTTCACAATAATAGCTCCAACATAAATTGGTTTTTCGGTTTGAATACAATAATTTAAAATAGCGCTCTCCTTTGTTACCTTACTAATCCTAATAGTAGACAGTAATTTTGATGAAATGAAGAAGTACTAGGCATTTGAAACTGGATTTAAAAATGATGAGGAAAACTTACATTTCTGTCATCTATGTCCTCCCAATTTGCTTCTTCATTCGTAAGGTAGCGGTAGAGTTCATTCATATTCTCTCTTATAGAGGTAAAGTTTGCATAATGGCAGATAGACACATTTTCAATCATAAATATCTCATTTATTCTTGAAGGAGTGAACTGCACAAACCTGCCTCGCATGTAAATCATTCCTTGGTTTATCTCATGAAAATTTGTATAAAATTCTTTTACTACAGGAATGATAACAGCGGCAGCAGTGTAAGCAAAGCACTTCCTAACGCCTCTGCGCAATAGTCTCTTCTACTTGAGTATTCGGCTTGTTGAATCATCAATTCATAAATCCCTTTTCTTTGATAAGCCTCTTCTTCACTAGAACTCGATTGTATAATTTTTGCGCATCAAAACTAACAAACTTTCTCCGGTTGAAAATTTCAAATATAGCGAAGTTTTTAGAGTGGGAAGCCATAGAATTTGAAAAATGGTGACTTTTCCTTTGTTTCCCTCCATAAACTATGGTTTGGAGTACGTTTTTAGGAGTTTCATGGAGAAGAAACCACAAAGGAAGAGAAACCCCCAAAAAACCTCCATTTGACATGTTTTAAACATTTTCGGATCTGCGGTGCATCATGTGCTAATCTGACACATCATACGCCAGCTCTCTGGAAAGTTTTTCACTGTTTTGATTTCGAACCATTAAATTCTCAAATTTTCCATAATATTAGGCAAATAATAATGTTTCTAATTATTTTATCAAATATACGGACTACATAAAGACATAAACATAAATATACGTAAAATATTTCAAACAAAACAAACTTAAAAACTAACTAACAACGATACATATGGGTTGCCTCCCACAAAACGCTTGGTTTAATGTTGTCAGCTCGACATTCCCAGTCTTATTCTAGGTGACCTAAAATTATAGTCTCTTTAAAAACTGATCTGACTATCAAAATATGACTTCAATCTGTGCCCATTCATTTTAAATATTCTTGCAGTCTTGGGGTCTTCAATATTCACTGCCCCATAGGGATAGACTTTTATAACTCTGAATGACCCTTTCCACCTAGACTTCAATTTTTCAAGAAATAATTTTAATCTTGTATTGTATAATAAAACTTTCTATCTAGGTTCAAATTCTCTTTTTATTGCCTTCTAATCATGTCATTCTTTCATCTTTTCCTTATAAATCCTTGCATTATTGTAAGATTCATTTCCAATTTCCTCAAGCTCATTCAATTGCAATACTCTTTTCTCACCAGCTTCTTTCAAATTGAAATTTAATTCTTTTAT